GACGTTCAAGGCGGTGCTCGACACGGGCGCAAGCGCATCGCTTTTCGGTGACGAAGTGTTGACCCACCTCCGGCAAAACTCTGTCCGAATGAGGGAGGGAAGCACGACCTTTCGACTCGCGTGCGGCACCGCACATTCAAGCGGTACCGTCCGGTTGGTTGCGAGATGGGAGAATCGAGCAAGACGGCAACGCTTCGTTCATCTCCCCAGTCTTTCCGTTCCGATCATCCTGGGCAGAGATTTTCTCGCCAAAACAGGGATCGTGATCGACGTGAGTAGCGGTGGCTACCGAGAGGGCACTTTCTCTCCTCTGAAACCTTTCTGCGAACCCCCAACCCCAGAAAAACCGCTGGTTAATGGGGCAGGCAGCAGCAGCCGAAACGAGGCAACAGCCTCCCAAGGTGAACCCTCTCCGACGCAGTTGCAAGCGAGCGCCGTAGCGTCGGAGATAACGCACCCCCTGCTGACTGAGTCATGCAGCGTGTCAGGGCAAGAAAAAGCCCGTCTGTCGGCATTATTACGACATTATGACAAGATGTTCACAGATCGACCCGGGTGCACCAATGTAGTGCGACACCGGATCGACACGGGCGATGCGCTCCCTCGGAGGCAAAACGCACGACCCGTTAGTTTGGCTAAACGAAAAGCCATTGACGTTGCACTGGATGAAATGATCGACACCGGAGTTGTCCGGCGGTCAAACAGTCCCTGGGGGTTCCCCGTCGTGTTGGTCCCAAAGAAGGACGGCACTTCACGTCTGTGCATCGACTATCGCCGTCTAAATGACGTCACGCGGAAAGACGCATATCCGCTACCAAGCATTGACTCGATCCTGTCCAAACTCGGCAGCGCACGGTATTTTACAACCTTAGACGCCAGCCGAGGCTACCTCCAAGTTCAAATGGAGAGGGGTGACGAGGCGAAAACGGCCTTTGTTTGTCACCGCGGGCTTTTCGAATTCACAAGAATGCCCTTCGGTCTGTGCGGAGCGCCCATGACGTTCCAGCGGTTGATCGACCGCATACTGGGAGAAGCCAAATGGAAACATGCAATGGCCTATCTCGACGACATTGTCGTCTACTCGAACACCTTCGAAGATCATCTCAGAGACCTGAAGGATGTGTTCGACCGGCTAAAAGCCGCGGGAATCACGCTGAACCCGGAAAAGGCTCAAATAGCCGAAACCCGAATCAACTTGCTCGGCTTCACACTCGATTGCGGGCGCATTGCGCCAAACGCCGAGAAGCTAGAAGCTATCCGGGAGTTCCCCGCACCAACGGACGTAAGCTCACTCCGTCGCTATTTGGGAATGGTGAATTTTTATCGCCAATTCATCCCGAACTGCGCCTCCCTCCAAGCGCCACTAACGCGGCTACTCAGAAAAGCCGTGAGCTGGAGTTGGGGTCCCGAGCAGGAGGCAGCTTTCCGCTGTACTTCGAAAGCACTCGCGGACACCGCGGAACTAAAGCTTCCCGACTTGAACAAGCCTTTCGTGATCCAAACGGACGCGAGCAAACTGGGCTTGGGAGCGGTCCTGCTCCAAGAGCACGAAGGTGTGATTCGTCCCGTGGCTTTCGCTAGCCGCTCGCTCGTGCCGGCAGAGGTGAACTACAGCACCTGCGAACAAGAGTGCTTGGCAATTGTATTTGCCTTAAAGCGCTTCGACATTTATGTCGACGGGACCACATTCACGATCGAAACGGATCACCAGAGCCTAATATGGCTGTCAAGACTTCGCGAACCCGCAGGGCGGTTGGCGAGATGGGCTTTGCTACTGCAAAAATACGACTATGTCGTGCGGTACCGGAAAGGCAGCACAAACGTTGTGGCCGACGCACTGTCGCGAGCCCCCGTAGACTGCGCAAACCTTTCCGCGGGGAGCCTGGCCGAGCCAACGGCACACGCAATGCCCGGCGAAGCCGAAATTCACTCCCAAAAGGAGGCAGCACCACTGACCTCCTCGGACGAGAGCGTGAACCACGTAGACGCAGTGAGCGCAGTGGGGATCGTGTTCAGCAAAGAAGAGCTACTGAAAGCTCAGCAGAATGATCCGTTTTGTCGAAAGGTGATCGACGGACTCTCGAGTGAGTCGGACTCCGTGGAGTCGGGCGGTGCGTCCGCCGGGCGTACGACTGCTGGTATTGCAGTAAACGCCGAGTGTCGGGATGTATCTGGTACTGGTACTGACACGCTGGATCAATTTCTGCTGAACGCCGATGGGCTCCTGCTGAAGTATATCCCATCTGAGAAGGACACAGATAATGTGTTCAAGGTGGTAGTGCCAAAAAGTCTGAGGTGCGCAGTAATGCGTTACTATCACGACTCGCACTTGGCCGGACATGCGAGCGGCTCCAAGACTTACACAAAGTTATGTCACATCGCAACCTGGCCGGGCATGAAAAGGGACGTATTCCGCTACGCCCGCACGTGCCACACTTGCCAAAGCTTCAAACCAAGAGGCGGCAAACCTCCGGGCCTAATGCAGCCGACCCAGAGCCAAGAACCATGGTCTTTGGCGGCTTGCGACGTGGTCGGCCCTTTGCCGAGGAGCCCCAAAGGACACCAATATTTGTTGGTTGTCACGGATCACTTCAGCAAATGGGTAGAACTTTTCCCACTACGAAAGCTGACAGCCCGAGCGATCATGGAGAAGCTCATGGAGGTATTCACCCGATGCGGGTTCCCGGAAGCTCTCCTAACAGATCGCGCAAGCTACTTCGTCGGGAAGGTATTTGTGGACGCTTGCAAAGCCCTGGGCATCAAGCACAAAACGACCACACCCTACCACCCACAATCGAACATCACGGAGCGATGTAACAGAAACATCAAACCCATGCTGGCAGCATTTGCCGAAAAGCACCGCGACTGGGACGCATACATTCCTGAAATTGGGTTTGCTCTCCGTTCCACTGTCAATCGTTCGACAGGCTTCACCCCCGCCTTCCTCACATTCGGAAGAGAGTTGGCGAATCCCATGGACCGTGTCCTAAGGGCGAACGCCGGGGCAAACGACGCGCAGTCGACACAGACTGAACACGCGCGCTCGCTACAAACTCGGATGACGGAAGCCTTCTCGGAGGCCCGTCACAATCTCGGGGTAGCGCGAGCTAAACAAAAGGCTCAGTACGATCGCTCTCGCCGAGATCTCCGCTACAAAGTAGGCGATCTCGTGCTCAGACGAAATCACGTTTTGAGCGATGCCAGCAAAGGCTTTTCTGCTTCGCTGGCACCGAAGTGGCTGGGCCCGTACGAAGTGCGAGAAATACTTTCACCGCTCGTGTACAAGCTGACTGACCAAGAGTCACGAAAAGTCGGAGGGCCAGTGCATATTTGCGATCTCAAACCCTACCACAGAAGGGAAAACGAGGAGCAAAACCCAAAGCCACTCTTGCGCAAGAATGCACGCGAAACGCGAGACGACGCCAAAAACGAGGCGCCCCGCTACAATCTGCGAACTCGGAGAAACTAATATCCGGAGTTTCGCAAAGGCAGTCCCGATAAGTGGCGAAATGTCACACTAAGAGAAGTGCAAGGGCAAAGAATGCACCAGCTGCCTTCGCGAACGCGTCAGCCACCATTGTTGGCAAGCCGTGACCTAAATACAAGGCCACCTCAACGTCCGCTCCCGGGTCATCCCGTACGGGGGATTCCCCTACATAAGGCATCTGAGGGAAAGGGTATGCGTAACGCCCATTGGTCAGTTACTGCCGCCCAGGCTCACGTGTGTCACTACGTCATCGTAGGGGCACGGCGAGAGCAGTTGTCACAAGCGGTGAGACCGTGATGTCATTCTGCCGCAGTAGGACTCCACTGTAACATCCACGAAGAGGATCTCCAGCCAGGACGGTGCTTCGGGCCGTTCGGGGGCTGCGCCAGCCTGTTTCCTGGCTCCGGGGTTTTTGACGGCGTTCTTGGTCCACGGGTGCTGGCGATTCCTCGAGCAGCCCCGCGACGCCAGCGGACCAGGGGACCGAACCAGCGGCCCGCCGGCTACGCGCGCCACCGGGACCGACGGCTGCGCGGGGTCCTGCCCGCCCTTCGACTTCGGGACCCGCGCGGCGACGGACAACACTCTGTCCAGGGGCCGGCTGTTCCCGTCCAAAGGGCTCCACGAACCACCTCCACGACGGTGAGCGAACGCCGGGAACGTCGCAGCAGACCGTATTTGTGAACCCCGGCATGTGGGGGTAGGCACCGGACGCGGTCGTTTTTTTTTAGATCTTTTTGTTTTTAAGAGCCGGTAGGACATTTTGTTTTATTCAAGTCCTACCTAAGCCTTAAGAAGGGGGGAGTGTGGGAACCATTGGGTTCCCTCTATCCCTATCTAGGCCTAGCTTCAAGCAGGCCGTGGGAGTCGTCGTCACCAATGGCGTCGGCCTCCCGGATACAAGGAACCACGAGGCCGAATTCCCCGAAGGGGCCGGTTCTCCCTTGCCCTTTTGGGTGAACGCGCCATCGGCACACCCTTGGGAGTGATTATGGACGCATCCCGTTTTCGAGTGACCTTCTACCGGCCTCCCCGGGCGCGTCTATTTCCCGCAGGCTACATAAGCCGGCCACCCACCTGTGGCCGGGGCTCTTGGTTAGGGGGGGCTACGCTCGACGGAGTATTCATCGTTATTTTACTGCTCCCCCTTCTCCGTGATCCTGCCAGTTCCGGCAGCGCGGACCTTTCTCCTGGTGATCCTGTCAATTAAGGCAGCGCCAACCTCTTTTCTCTTTTGTTCCGCCTACGGGCGCAAAGCGTGTGGCGAAAGCCCAATAAACACGTTTCTACGGTATCCCTGTGTTTGGTGTGGTCTCCCGTCCACCGGAGCCTAACGGCAGTCAACGGACGGACCCGGCCGTAGCCGCCATAGCAGCGAACTACGGAGTGGGTGTTGCCTCACAGCGATCAGCAAGGTAAGTCGAAACCTACTTTATTGCATCCGACGAGTTACGGAGTGGGTATTTGCCTCACTGAGGACTTTGGGGTAAACTAGAATCCCACAATGTTGAAGGACGGGGGGCCAAGACAGCGTACGACTTGCCTGTTTTAAAAGGCACACTTGACGGCCAGGCTGTCCCCGTCTTAAAGGACACCGGTAGCAACACCGTGGTGGTGCGTCGCTCGCTCGTCCCGGAGGCAGCACTCACGGGGACCACAGCCACATTGCGGCTGATAGATGGCCGAAGCATCGACGTTCCTGAGGCGCAAGTGGATATCACCTCCCCCTATTTCACTGGGACCGCAGTGGCCAAGTGACTGGATGCTCCAATTTGTGATGTAATAGTCGGCAACGTTCCCGGCTCGCACGACGCATCCTCTCCCGATACTCATTGGAAAGAGCCGGCCAGGGCCTCTAGAACGAGGGAAAGAAAGCCCATGAATGACGAGAAGCCAGAGCATCTCGCACCCACTTCGATCCTGGCCGGAGCAAGTGTTACTGGGCAACGCCGAAAAGCGCCCACCGTTGAAAATGGGCGCGATGCAGGTGACCACGAAGAAACCCGTGCTCGCCGAGCGGGTGCTGGGCACCGTCCAGTGGTTCAACGTAAAAAACGGCTATGGCTTCATCAAGCGCAACGACACGCTGGAAGACATCTTCGTCGACCAGACCGCCATCACGCGGAACAACCCGCAGAAGGTCACGGGCAGCGTTTACGAGGGTGAGACCGTCGAGTTTGACATCGTCATAGGTGAGAAGGGACGCGAGGCCGCCTATGTGACCGTTCCCGACGGCGAGCCCGTACCGTGCTTCCCTTACGCCACGGACAGAAGACGCTTCAGAGGGCGATGGTTCTTGAGACGGAGTCAACGCCGACCGATGCCCAATCCGCGCCAAGGTGTGCAGGCCTCGGACGACCTCCATGACGTTGTGCTTGTGCCAGTGTGATGATGTGGGAGAACCAACGATGAGGAAAACGACGCGCGCGAAAACTGAGTTGGACTGAGCAACACTGTGGACTGAGTAAAAGACAAAGAGGTTCAAGGCAAGGGTGGGATAAACGGAAAAAACGAAGACGACGACGAGAAGGGAAGAGGGGCCACAAGCTCGTGCCTGGAAAAAAGGGAAGGGCGGGCACGACACGGAACCCGGCTCGACAGCGGTGGTCCCGGCAGCCAAGGAGGAGCCCGGACGGACGAGTCCAGGCCCGTGGGGCTTTCACCTAAGCTCGCTGAGAAGCCTCCGCCTGTGCCTAGCAAGCAGCTGAACATTCCCTGGACAAGATGAACGCCTTGCGCACTGTAAAAAATTTCCGTAATTTTACAAACACTTTGTTGTAATTATGACGGACAGTGTGTCCGTTTCTTAGTTAACGGACATAAAACCCGTTTTTCTTTAGGTTGAATAAAATAGTACAGTTGTGTGCCAAAGAGTACCATAGTAGAGGACAAAAGCATTAGAAGTGCTTTTATCGTCTAATCCTGCTAAGAGCAATTCGTTATAGTAAAGAGGCCAAAGACTATACCAAGAAACCCGCAGTACCCTGCAAAAGGAACAAATAAAAGTGGGGGGAAACACAAAATAGAAATCAGGTAAAAGTCTGCAATTCACGTTAAAGCACATAGGCACTGCTCTACCTCAGTGGGAGTGAAGGTAGCGAGTTTCCTGTCTACAGATGTTTTCGAGCTTGTGATGATTGTTAGGGGGGTTCTGCGTGAGTGCAAATAAAAGGATTGCCAGAACAGTGAAGACCACGACAAGAAGGAAGGCTGTTGCTCTACAGGACGAAATGGTTGAAAGGCACCAGCACAATTCTTGCAAGCAACTCCCTTCAGTGCTGTCTCATGAACTTGCAGTCCCACAACGCTGTTTAGGAGGCATAATAAGACAACCCGCTGGAGGGCCACACTTGAGATCAACTCTGGTCGTCCAGTGAAGGGCCAGAATTCTAGCCAATGTCAAAGCAGTGAGCGATCCGGAGTGAGCTTGGCTGCCGAAGAATAGTGTATAGTTGCCCTTCGATGAACACTTTCAACTGATCTTACAAGATCAACCTCACAGGAGTCTCATATGGAGCGGCGATACTCTAGGTGTGGCAGGACCAGGGCTGTGAAAGGCATGGGCGTACCAACCGGGGGGTCAAGGGGGGCGCTCGTCCCCCAGTTCTTAGAGTGGGGGGGGGGGCAAGTCATGTGTTTTGCCCCCCCCCCCTAAAACAGCCACCACTGGGCAGGGCAAACACTGGCTGGCAGCGCCCAAGGGATACCAAGGGCACCGCTCCTCGGCCCCAGGGGGGGGGGGGGGGGAGGGGAGGGGAAGGGGGTTTAGTTTGCCCCCACCCCCCCACACACTCAAAACCAAGTTGATACGCCACTGGCGAAAGGCACCTAAGTTTGTTATGGCCTGGTCTACTGGACACGCTAAGTACAAAATCCAGTGTTCCGCACGTTTTGAACAAAACTGTTGTCAGGCTGTGCGAAGAAGCATAGCTGGCTGTGTATAATAGACCTTGTCGATGTTGTTCTGCAAACCCTGGTTGTTTCTCTGGCCACCTGATAAGCGCCACCAGTATCAGTTCGTCCGTAACAGCAGTGGAGTTGATTGCAGGGATCACGATTAATAAACATGTTGAGAACAAGTGGACTGAGCACACTGTACCGTCGAACTGTCGAGTATTTGGGGCCACTGGAAATGGTTCCATGGTATACACTGCACTCCGAGCGACTCAACCTGAAGACGTCTAGTATGCACACATTTAATTAAATCGTGTTAATGAGCACCAGTGGCTCGCTGGGCAGGTCATAGGACTCAGCTTTCACGGAAGCCAGGTAGCATGCACAGTATAGCAGCCCCTTGCCATGCTTGTGAGAGGTTCCAGCTCCGGGTCGTGGCGTCGCCAAAAGGGTAGTAGAAAAGGTACCACGACCAGCACACCCCTACAGTTCTTAGCACGATCCTTTCCGTAACCAGTGTGCTCCACTGTAGCAATTGACAAGGTGACTGCCATAAACCGAATCCTGCATCCACGCTTTACATGCCCCTAGAACTGTTCAGGGATGCGTTTCATGGATTGAGTGAAGGTGCAGCAGCTTATTCGGGACCAAGTGCCCTGTTTGAGAACCACACTGCGAGTTGGAGCAACGCAAACCAGGGAGTACAGGGATGGGGTTCGTCTGGGCGGGCCAGGGTGGTGGAACACGGGGGGCAGCGTCGCTGGTTGCCCGGGAGCCAGAGTGCGGTGTCCGTACTCGACACAGCTGTCGCAATGATGGGCTCGAAGTTCGTGGGGACGGCAGCGAAATTCAAGGCGGCGGTAGTACACTGTGTAAGGGACATGGGTTCCGATGAAGGTGATGATGGCTGAACCTGTTGTGCCTACTCGCCTTGCGTGAAGGATGTCACCTTGATAAGACTCCAGATCATTGATGATCTCGTCGGGGTGGCCTCCGAGGCAATTCCACGTATAACACCTCGGCAGGAGTTGTTTGGAGCGGCTAGGTAGGAGTGGACGGGAGGGGAAGTGTTTTGTAAGGCGATATTGGTGATGCGAAGTAGCCAATTGACGATCGCTTCGTGATGGGTGCGAAGGACGGTTATTTTGCCGGAGGTGGTGCGAGACGTCGGTACATGCATGAGCAGGGTGCTGTGCGGCTTGCAAGAACGCCGGCAAACTGTCAAGAGGCAGCGCAGCTGCGCCAGCAGGACGGACTGGGAGATGCACTATAACTACGTGAAGTTCGGGGTCAAAGTCGGCCGGAAGGCGAGATTTGCGGGGCTTTCCAGGGGTGATTCATTTCCCACCTTGGTCGTCTCACTCTAGAGAGATTTTCATGTCCTGGCTCAGGATGGACGCAAAGATATTGGTGTGCTGCGAAGCGGCGATGTCGGCTGTAGCCATATGCGAAGCAGAAACGGGCGTGCCGCTCGCAGAACGAGACTCGAGCGAACCGATCTCTTGGCGGACGTGCTGCGGCGGGCCGACGGAGCGCGGCGATGTTTATACCAGGATCACGTACAGTCGCGTACAGTTCTCTGGGGTTTGCGAAGCCCGGAGAAGACGTCCGCTCTCGTCGGAGGTTTGCAGCAGTCTCCGGACACTGAAGGTAAGGGCGTTCACATCGAAGAGTTCACTATTGAAGGGGGGCTACTGAGGTTTTAAGAGTCACTGGTCGTAGCAATCGCATTCCAAAGACACCGCGTTGTCGTAGATTGTTTTTCACCGGCTACGTCCTGTAGGGCTGAAGCCAGGACTGGGGGATCCATCGCCGGAAACGCGGAGGAACCAAGCAACGACGTGAGGCTTGCCGAGTCGGTTAGTGGGTGCGGACGACATTCGAGCAACGCTTCCAAGAAGACTGGATATTTTTCCAGCGAGGACACAATACTTAGACAGCATGCTTGGGGCTGATGAGGATCGCAGGAGGTGGATAACAGGACAGCCAATGCACAGCAAATAGGTTGAGCACGGTACACGGCACTAGAGCCACTGAATGAGCTGCGCTTAGAGTATCGGCACTCCGTTCCCCGGCATTCTTGTGGGCGCCGCCATTTTGGCTCGTATGCAGAGCAGACGCAACTGCCGATCGTCATGATTCAAAAGTGCGACTTCCTCAGCGTTAGATTCGGTGTTAGGAACCTCATGCAATATTGCTTTGCTCTGTCACGAGCTGTTGAAACATTCGTAGAGAGCGGAAAAGTCTTTCCTGTGATTTCAGATAAAGCTTCAGATAACTGGCAACCATGATTTTACCACACAAAATGGCCAAGTGTCGTTACTCTGAAGCGTAGCTTATTTAGTGGCACTACACGTCACAATAGTGGTCGCCGCCATGTTAAATTGAAACGAAGCTGACGAAGCCAAGCTCCAGTTTAGTACACAATGCGCTTCGACATGCTTTATTACAAATAATTTTATAAATCTTAAACATTTTTTTGTATCTTAAAGTTTTAATTTAAGTCGAATAAAACAAACAAATTTACGTTGCGTCAAATAAACTTGGTCAGAACTCGGAACCAACGAGCATCGCCGCATCGCCATGGCCATCGTAACGAAACGGAAAAATTTCAAAAACAAAGCGAGTTTCAAAACTTTCGCAACTTTCGGGCGCTTTCAGACCTTAGGAACAAACATCTAAGAACGTTCTTGGAAAAGGGAAGTTTCCTAGGTGCCGGCGTGCCCATAAAACCAGCTGTGGATATGAGTCTAATTGGTGAGTGCTCGCTCACTCGTTTTGCTTTTTGAGTCCTTTCTGTTCGGAGCGTTTATGACGTGATCCTTTTGTGTACAGTCGGCGTGAAAGCGAACGTGTGCGGTTCCTTGTCGCAGAGGTGCTTTCCGCATTGAATGACCCTCGAGCTTTTGCCAAGGAAGCCACGGAACCGACGTGTCACTGCACGGGCACTCAGATTGCGGGAACGCAACCAAAGATAAAGGTCCCACCGGAGGCAAGGGGGGCCAAGCGAGGCACTTGGTGAGTGTATCAGGGAGCTTGATTTCTGCAAATCGGGTGGCGGCTTGGTACCAGATAGCTAGGAGGTGTGTTTTGCGGAACCCATGACTGCTAAAGGTACCCGTTAGTGTGATGGCGCTTGTATTCGTTCCACTGTGCGGGGTTAGATTCAGTTTTGATTTTCGTCCTCGGAAACTACCCGAAACATTGCGTGACGTGCGCCTTTAGAAGTAAGGTCTGTATTGATTATGTTGCTTGCGAAGAGTTAGAGTATAAACGAGTTCTCTCTCGACTGGGGCACTGACTTCTTATAAAAAAATTCTGTATATGGTGCTCTTGTTTACTGACCCTCTGGCAGTACTTCACTGTAAAGGTTAGGAGAAAAGAAAAAAAACGCGCATTGACTACTGTCAGAAGAAACAGAAAAAAAGTGTTTTAAACTACTTCCTCCTCCGTTCATAAGCAAAGGGAGAAATCACATGGTCGTATTTCACTGGA